TGAGTACTATACTCGAGGGCTAAGGTGCACATATTTCCTCCTCAGGGACACATATATCTTATTGTAATTTTTAAGTGAGAATTGTGAATTTAATCCCGTAGGTTTTGATTATATCCATTATTGATCGTGAAAGTTTAGTCAGTTGCATACTATATATATTTGTCCTTGTAACTAGTAAATCTTTGTGATTAAAGGAATTTATTTATCGAAAATTATATTTTCCGGCTACTAATTCACCGGGAGAGATGTTGCCGGCACATAATTGTCTGTCGGAAAGTATGATTTCCAATGAAATGTCCTTAAATATCAAAGACTTGTTAACTTCAGGAATAAATCTGCAACCAACAAGAGAATTCGAAAGTGTAGACTTGTACGCCATTAAGTGTACGTTTGAGAGTTAAATTATGAAGTGGAGATGAAAGGTGAGGAGGGTTCATGACTCTCAATTTTCTGTTTGGGAGAAAAAAATGGGGAGGAATAATTTTGAAGGATTTTTGCCAGCTTCTAAAACTCTTCAAATGTTTAATTTTTAAGTTCTTCCAAATTGGAATTTTTTGAAGGATAATTAATTAAGTGTATGTGTGGGAGTTTGGGAGGAAAGGAAGGGAAAGACTTTAAAGGTAAGTTGTTGGAACTTAATTGGAAGGGAGAGGGAGGGGAAGGTGAGAAAATCCTTTTTTAAGTAGTAAATTTGAAATATGTACTTCGTAATTCCTCACTCTCTCTCCACCAGCATGATCAATTTACATTTTTCTTGTTCAAAAAGTTTTTGAATAAAACTCGTAAACGGAGAATTAGTAAATGATTTCTTTGATGGAGTCTTTTTCCGTCTTCGATTTTAATCGAAGGACGGCCGCTATTTCCGTCTTCGATTTTAATCGAAGGACGGCTGCTATTGTTTGTGCTTCATACTCGAAGGGCGGATTTGCTGTCATGGCTTGAGGAGATCGGCGTTGTGGTCAAGGTTCGAGGATGATGTATTGCTGTCGTCGTTGGAGAAGATCAGCGCCGCCTATCCGTTTACTCTGGTTGCATGAAGCAGGGATGAGTTTGGTTATGCAGGGACGGAGGATTGATGCATGGCCTTTGGCAGACAAAGGTCACGGAGTATCAATTAGCATGGTACCGGTGGTAAGACCTCATCCTGAACCACCACCATGGGATGTACGAGGTGCTAGAGTTCGTGAACGCTTTTCTTGTAGTTTTTATCTGTTTGTTATTTGTTTTCTAGTGTCCACTTTTGTTGTTGGTTTTGACAGTTTGTTTGAGTTTTTTGCCTATCTTTATGTCATTGGGTATGGTTAGATCTATGAGAATAGGTTTGGCTGTGTCAAGCCCACTACATGATTAGCGATTCGTGTTGCTCTCTCAGGGATGACCGTCTCAAAGTCTCACCATAGGGTTACAGTCGTAGTTGTTGAAGTTTCAGTTGGTGTCAGTTTTATTTTCCTTTTGCATGATGTAATGATCCTGAATCTTTTGATATGAATAGAGGCCCGTTTGATGATAAAAAAAAAGTAGTAAATTTGAAAAAATAGAATTTTAGAAGAAATTATACGCAGTATATAAAATCACTTGTGAGATATTGTGAATTCAAATAGTTGAATAAATATTCATTTTAAATTTAGCTTAAATTATCATTTAGTTAGTTATCCTTCAAAATCTTCATTTGGAAGAAACTTAAAAATTGAGCATTCGAGCGATTTTGGAGGGTCACACAAAGCTTTCAAAATCATTCCAACACATTTTATAAACTCAAACATAAATAGGAGAGTCACCAATCCTCACATGTCTTCCCCTCTGTCCCAAAAACCAAACTCCCAAACACACCCTAAATGATACTATTCTCGTCTCGTTGGAAGGTTCCCTTGCATATATAGCAAAACGACACGGTTATTTAGATGATAATTTAATAAAGTACTTCGAGTATATTTTGAGAAATAATTTTAATGGGTATATATTATAATATAGTAAGTATTGATAATTGTGATGTTATAAATGTATTATTTTTAATATTTAATAATTAATTTTTCACTTAAGATTTTTAATTGTTTCCTAAAATGGAAATGAGAACCTTCTAATGGGCCGTCCAAATAAGAAAAGTGGAACCTTCGAAAGGGAGTAATTTAAGCTTAATTCAATACACTAATATTAGTTCAACTTTTTGAAGTTGCAATATCTCAAAAACGATTTAAATTATAATTCCTTCAATGACTTACTCTTTCCAAATTTATTACTTCCATATAAAAAGAATTTTCTTACATTTATGTCTCTTTCCTCCTACGACTTACCTTCAAAGCCTCTCCCAAACTCCCAAACACATACCTTAATTGAATTGCTAGTTAAAGTTGTTCAAAAAATGAAAATTATCATTTAGTGCCCATTTGGTGACCCTATTTTTTGACTTATCAATCAACTTTTTCACTAGATACATAAATGTATTAATACATCTTTTACACACCGCCTCTGAATTATATATGTACCAATATATCTTTTCACATGGTTGCGAATGGGCTGATAATCGAAAAAAATTCTTTTGATAAAAGTATCTAGTTACAATTCCTTGATTTATTATGTATTGATTTTGCAAATATCAATTAGGTAATGATGTGGCAATATAATTGAGATATCATAACTCATCATCATTTTAAGATATCACAAATGTATATACAGGGTCGTGCCTATGTTGAGGCTGCTGAGGCACAAATTATGTCAGTATATATAGGAAAATCGTCTGTGATGAAATCGATTTCATTTCATCATTTTCATTTACGCCAGTGCCGCAAAGGCTCTTGGTTTCTTCTTAAGAAGGTTTCGGTATATAGCACATCATACTTGAAATGTGTGATACTCCGTATTAAACTATGCAATCTATTAAAATATTCCACTAAAGGTTAAAGTTTAATATTCCACTGAAGGTTAAAGATTTTTTCTGGCAACTATGTACGAATTGTTTACCTACATCAGATGAATTGTTAATGAAGAAGGTGGTTTGTTACCAGGGGTGTGTTCCTTGTGCTCAAGATAGAGAATCAGCACTTCACGTGTTCGGGTCATATGTGGTGGCAAAAAGGGTTTGGGAGAAACTAAAGTGGATTGTAAATGTTGATGATTCATTCCGTAACTGAATGGGCAGAAGTTTTTATCATGGTGCCATCAGGAGGAAAAATGTTGCAGGTTTTTTATGCTTTTATGGAGCTTATGACAGGCTAGAAATGAGGTATTGTGGAAGAAGTCTCATGTTGGTGTAGGGAGTATTATTGCAGTGGCTGATGCATTTCTTGATGGATGGAGAAGGGCTCAAATGACAGCCCCTGTAGCAGGAAGAATTGCAGCAGCTCCCAAACATTGGATTAAACCGAGAGAGGGCCGTTTAAAGGTCAATGTGGACGATGCGGTGAAGGCATGGGGGACTGCAGCGGGTTGGGTTAGGGGGTAAGGGACTATAGAGGGTCTTTTATTGTCGGGGGAATAAATAAAAGACCCGGAGTTTGTCAACCTCGCGAAGCTGAAGTCCTTGCGATAAGGGAGGACATTAGTTGGCTTAGGGACTATGGCTTTGATTTTATTAATGTGGAATGTGACACTACCCAAGTTATTAAGAGTATTCAGGATAGTTCAGATGATTCGTCCGTCGATGTCATTATTGGTGATGTAAGAGATATTATGACTAGTTTCACTAATATTTCTATTTCTCATGTGAAGCGGTCAGCGAATCGGGTTGCTCACGAATTAGCGAGAGCAACCGTTTCTATGTATTATTGCTATGTGTGGCATACCACGCCTCCATATTGTATTCTGGATTCCTTAAACTTTGATTTGATTAATAATATGTAGTTTGACTTCCTTAAAAAAAAATTAGTTGGGCATCACACACTAGTTTCGAAAGTTTGTGATTTGTGAATGAATGAAGTGCAATGATGCAAAGTTTTGGATATGTACTGGGATGCATACATTCATGTAGTTGATCAATGAAGAAAAATTAATTATCAATACGTCTGTGATTTTTGAAATTTTACTTTGCTTAACTAAAACAACTTACCAAAATGTTGTACTTACAAATGAAAAATGTTGAAGCATTTCCAGAGGTGTTATTGTGAACGCAGTTAAGTAGGGTTATTTTATAGGTGAGAACTCAGGTACCCATTTAAAAAATTGGGTACCATATCTACCACTCATTTGATTGGTCCAAATAGGTATATCATTTTTAATTTGGACTTAAATAATTCAATTGCAACATTCTGATTGGTCCATGTGGACAAAGGTAAGATACCTCATGAGTATCATAAATACCTATTTTATAACCAACACGTAGTATATCAAAAGATTATTTGGTGGAATATTCCACATCCAAAAAATTACTTGCTTGTTCTATACTTTTAATCTATTAGGAAATTTTTATTGGGGACATGTGCCCCTTTCTATACTAGGTGCATCCGCCCATGTAAGATTAATAAAACCTCAATGGTAAGATGAGGAAGAACCCAAGATTCATTCGTACTTTGAATCTGATTAGATTCTTAGTATTTAAATAAATAAAAACAGAGTGTAAGAAGATAAATCAGAAGAAACCCGACATAAACCGGACAAACAGATTTGTAAAGAAAACGAACAAGATGCAGATTTCTTTTGTTAACATAAACGACACCTTGTGTAGATAAACAATCCATGAACATCGATATGTCCATTTCACAGCATAGTTTGCAGTCTATCTGGAGTAGCAATAAAGTGCTTAACCATCGATGCCGCCCATCAAACTGCTAATGAGGTATCTTAGATCCATTTTTTTTCAATCATGTGGTTCACATTACCGTGAGTAAATATGATCACAGATCACCAGTTTTGATGTTACATTAGTATTTATTTGGAGATGGTTTGAATACCAACCTATTAATCACATTACCGCACTGGTTGACCTTGACATGTTATATGCCAAACATTTATCAAATGCGAGTCTAAGAAAGTTTTTTCATTGTTATTTATTGGAAATCAAATTTCTACATTTTAATTGGATAATCATATTATGTAAAAGTAGATCAAAGCGTATGAAGACTCAGAAAGATATGCAAGAATAACCAGAAAAATGATAGGTAGCCACTTAAATGGTGTTTTCATCAAACTAACATTTACTTGAGCATCTTCTTGCCCCTAACTTAACTCATTTATAATAAGTTCACAGATATCTAGTGTATTTAACACCAACTCCATGAAAGGAAACTCCAGGTTGAGGCTGCCGCACGCTGTTCTCCTTGAGACATAAAAACTGGTATGCCAATTCCATAGTTTACATTCCTGTCTTCTGAAAGGAATACAAGCTTAGTTTAAACAACATACCGATACGTAACATAGTCCCCTGCGGTCCCACTTTCCCTGGTGATTCTCACAACTTGACCACGCCTTAGCCCATAGTACTTGGCAACAGGGTCATTCACAAATATCCGCGGCAGCTGCCTCACAAGGGAAAAAGTATATTAGGCATCTTCAGTGGCTGGACCGCTGGACCAATTTAGAGGAAATGTATGGCAGCAAACAGTTTAATAGAAAAGAAAATCACTTTTGTCCTCACAACTAATTGGTCATTGGTAGGATCTGGTTCCAAACTTTCATTTCCTCAACCTTTGGTACACAACCATGCATGTCTTGCCACATTTGGTCATCTTGGACACTTCTTAGTGAAAATCAACCCTAACTTGTAAGGAAATTGGCTGTATTAGAGATCAAAAGGACCAAAAGTCGCAAACAATCCATAACCGTGTCCCAAAAGAAGAAAAGAAGAAAGTCGGCACAATGAAATGCCGTAATAGTCATGGGACCAAAAGTAGAAATTCTCTAATGTTTGACATGTCACATTGTACAGAACAATCACATTACAATCTCAGAGATGCTGCTTCTTAAGGCGGCTTGTCTGGTTGGGAGATTTTTTCAGGGTGGATTGATTTTTGTTTTGATAAGTTATCTCAATTTGTACGGATTGAACTACAAAATAATTATATATTTAGTTGAATCATGGATCTCTTTATGATAGACTAATAACACAAAACTCCCCTTCCCTCCATAATCCCTCAACAAAAGAAATGCCTTAAGAAACATATCCATCCATATAGAAGTGCGTGTTTGTGTCACACATACACAGTTACACACAAAACGGGATGTAGCAATGTCACAGTTCAGCTTGTGCAACATGGGGACAGACACACTCACCAAATCAAAAGGTGCAATTTACAAGGAGAAAGGAATAAGAATATGATCATACTTCAAGGCTGAGATCACAATTCTATATGAATCACAAAAACAGTCATTTGAAAGGAGGTTTGACTAGTAAACTATTGTACCTGCACTCTGATTGCAAATAAAGAAAATCAATCCATGGCTTCATCATCATCATCATCATCATCATCATCATCATCATCATCATTACCCCAGTGCCGCAAAGGCTCCCACCTACGGTGGGTAAGGGGGGGTCGGAGTACGCAGCCTTACCCCTGTACTAAAGCACAGAGGGCTGTTTCCGGATGACCCATGGTGAAAATTACATTGACCGTTGCATGGACTTATTGCTACTTCATAACAAAGAAGCGCAAACAGTTTAGTGAACCACTTTTCTTTATTCCATCATATTCCCAAACCAAAAAATAGTGAATCTTTGGCTCCATTGCAAATGGAAAGTATCCATGGCTTCATGCAATACTTAAATTATCCCTACTTAAAATTATCAACAACAAAAAACAGTAGAGGATAAATAACCTGTGATTCTTTGACAGTATATTTCTCCAACAATCTCTTCTTTTCTTCAGTTGTAAGCAGCTGGTGAGCAGGAACAAGTTCATGCTCCTTTATGTTGAACAATAATTCAGCCTCCTGCATCATTGCACTAATTAAAGAACAGCCCAGTCCATCTCATAGTTATTCCATTTGTTATTAGATATATTAAAGCAACTTGAACAATGTAAAAGTTGGATGATAGTCTTAGTTTTTATTCAAAATCTAATACATCTATTTCTTTTATCCTTGCATTACTATTCAAATATTCCATAGTATTTTCAAATCTTATTCCAAAAACTTCACTCAGAACAACTAACCCATCTAATGGTAATGGAACTTTTAATACTTGATTATTAATCTTCAATTTCTCCTTACACCGTAGTTTTATTTCCTGCAACATTTTGTTAATGACTCGATGTGGTTTAAGTTTCCATCATTTTCAATGGAGCCAAAAACACTATTTTTTGGCTTGAGAATATGATGGAATAAAGCAAAATGACTCACTAAACTGTCTGCGCTTCTTTGTTATGATGCAGAAGTCAGTCCATGCAATTTTTGTAAATTTCACAGGTGTGCAAATTTCACATGTAAGTATGATGCGGTAACTCAGTAAGCAGACTTTAATCATACTACGTATCACATAAAACTAACTTTTTAGCAAGCTCTGAGATCGATTCTCATAAATTTTATATGGTGCTTGAGACACGAATTTGGAGTTAAGAATATACAGTAATAAGATTCAGGTCAAATTTTGGGTTCTGAATATGACGGAGATGTTGAGGAAAAAAGACTAGTTATTGGACATGTACATTGCAATCGGGTCGGGTAGTTAGTTGGAGTGTTACTTCACAACATCTAGTAGCATAATCCATCATGTAAGAAAAATAATATGTCACTCATATTATTGCTGTCTTTTTTGAATAATTTCAACCATATAAGTTTTTCAAAAATAACTTGACTAGAGATCGTGTGCATGATTGAAAGTAAAAAGATATAGCAAGTACTGTGTTGCACACGTAGGAACAGAGATGAGGTTGGGTAATCTCCTTTTTTCGCACTTCAGTCTAATAAAGATCATTACATACCCTCCCATGAACATAAGACAGATCCCCCTAACTGCGTAAATTTTGTTCTCTTTTTTATTTATTTTATCCATACATATAGTGTAAGAGGAGGGAACACGAAGGGCATTTGCCATTAAAAGTAGTTGCTGTGTTTTTTACATGAACTTGTTGTACTAATTAATTTGATAATTTAGGCAAAATAATTTGTAATATAATGATGATTGTCAATGTTCTTTTGTGGTTTGAAGTTAGTATAAAATATCAACAAAAACACATATTTTACCAAGTGAGAGAGCACTATTTACCTCAAAAACATCGATGAGATATAATGAAGATGCTGCAGCTATGCAGGCACGAGCTTGTGGAGCCAATTTCTTTTGGAGAATCAAAATTCCCCTGGTGATATCTTCTGCTTTCATGCGTTGAAGACAACCTCTTATATTCTTAACACCAATCTTGCTATCGTTGGGGTAGAAAATCATGATCTGAATCAGGAAATGCACTTTACATAAGCAAAAGAAGATAAAAGAATGCATATGCAGTGCATGACTGCATTCCAAAATTGTAGTTCTGAAATAAACTAACATGAGTCAAAAGACCACGAAAATTCTCACAAATTACAATAAAAGTTACAGAGAAAGCGAAATCTGAAACTTGTGAGCATTGAAAATAAACAGGAAAGATAAAACGAAATCTCAAAACTACAAAAGTTGCAGATTGTAACTGAAATAAAAGGCCTTCAAGTATGATACTCTGATCAAATACCTTATTAGAACTGTCGTTGTGCATCTCCTTTTGCATTTCGAGGTTCTCTCTCGTCACACGGTCACCATATTTGGCAATAAAATCCGCTCTAGTCAAATTAATCTCAGCATCTTCAACCATGTAGCCCCTGTCTCGCAGCATACTCATCACAGTCTTATGAACCGTAAATACCGTCGTCTTCTCTTCTTCCGTAAAGAACATATTTGCGCTGCGTATTAAACCTAATGATAACAAGAGTTTGAAGAGCAAGCTTAGTTTCTTCAATTTATTAGCCCATGTAAATAGTTTAAAGAGACAGAAGAGCTAACCAGAGTGAAAAAGGGAACGAGTGGATTTACCAGGTAGCCGCCGGCTTGGAGCGCAAAATTAGGTTAGAATCCAGGTAAATTTCATAATTTCATCGTTCCCTTTTTAATTATATTACGTGTATGCAAATATGACACTATTTATTTTAAAGATGTTAATAGTGATAAATTAATGATATTATTTTTAAAATATACGTTATTTATGAATAAAATAGTAAAAATAAAAGTATTCATTAATAAAACACATTTTATTTAAAAAGAGACATTCTTTGGACACATAATTACTACCAAATTGGTAGAATTCCTCTACTAATCAAGCAAAATTAAGTAATACCGATTTCTTAAAGGAATTTCAATTAACAACCTAATAAGTAATTAATAACATATTACGGAGTACACCAACTTGTTAATTATAATTAACAAATTAGTTTAATTACTAATGATAAAAAAATAGTTTAATTACTTCGGCAATTGGCTAGAGAAAATCAGAAATAACAACCTAATTTGTTAAATTTCATCATAGATTAGTAGGCTTAGGAGTATTTTTAGGCACTAATAATCCTAAATAATTAAAATCAGCAATTCAATCACAATATACTTAGTATAACATAATAATCCATTAATCCAAACAAATTAAGAAAATCAATCTTTATAATTTAGAGGAGATAAACTTACCTGGGCGATGAATGAATCGTGGTGTGTTGAGGCGTTGGAGAGGAATCAGAGGACTGGAGGTGAGAGGCGTGGTGCCGTGGCCGGTGGGGCAGTGGCGGCCTGGCGCTGGCGCTTGGTGGCGGAGGAAGACGCTCAGTCCTTCGTCGTCCTCCTTCCGTCCTTCACGACTTCACAGCTTCACTCCTTCGTCGCTTCGTCTTTGGACTTCGGTCGTTCCAGTCTCCACTCCAGAGCAGCGGTTCTTCTGATTTCCCGTGACAAGTCTCTAGTTGCCTAGTTGGGTCACTTCGTTGGATGGGGGGAGTCGGAGGAATTTGGGCGTAGGTATGAAGTTGGGCTCAGGTAGGAAGGTATAATTTGGGCTGGGTTATGGTACTAGTTATCTTTTTTGGGCCCTTCACGCCGGCCCTGGATCTGTAAAATATTTTTTTGTTACTCATTCCGTAATACGGAGTATTAACTATTTTGTTTTTAATAAATTTATAACTCCGTTCAGTCAAAAAAAAAAAAATCTAACTCCGAAATCATATCATCCAAAAAAAAACTCCGAAATCACTATACGTTAAAAAATGTTATTGTTGATTACATAAATCTACTAGTGTAACACCCGGGGCATGCCCCGATAATATTAATTTGATACTCCCACCGTCTCCTTTTAAATGGGACGGGAGATGGTGACACGAGTTTTAAGAAAAGTGAGTTTGTGTGATTGATATTAATTAATAAAGTAAGAATGATTTTGAGCCACACAAAGATTACCAAATAAGATATGAGGCAATTAAATAGGGACATCACAATATGGTAAAACGGGACATTTAAAAGGGGACGGAGGGAGTATGAGTCAAGGGACAAATACTAATAAGAATTGTAAATTTGTAAGCAATTCATAGCATATGATCAAAGTTTTGGTGACTTCTTTTATGAACTAACCACGATCATGAAATAGTGAAATACATATGAAGAATATAATCACCATCTTTTGGGGTACTAATTTGTGGTTATATTTTGGTTTATGTGCTTAATGTTGTAATAGTTGGTAATTATGTATAGGACTAATTTTATGATGAGGGATGATAAGAAGAAGAGTGTTGAAATGCAGTTGAGAATATGTGGAGTTTACAATTTACATTATTTTGGATATTCATGTGTACTATTGATATTGTACGATTCGAGTCCCGTCCACGTGAATTAAAGTTATATTATTTAAAAATTTTGATTTTGAATTAGAACCTCACTGAAATGAGTAACATTCTTTCATGTTATTATAGTCCTGCTACGTGTATTAGAGCATCTTTATTCAAAGAATTTGAAGTTGTACAATTATTTTGGAAAATGAATTGATCTGGTATTTATTCTCAGAATTATACTCCACTAATATAATATGGTTGATTTTAAGAAGTTGTTCAATATGCCTGACATGAATATTTATGATTTGAAAATTTTTAAGATCTGGTCTGATATTGAATGATCCCCGATATGATTTTTTGTGATCTCATATGAATCTTTCAAATTTGATCTAATAAAAGCTTTTATGATTTTAATCTGATCTGAATAATTCGGATCTGATCTAAATAGTTTTTATGTGATTGAGAATTATTTGTATAATGTTTTTTTTGAAGGAATATTAATAAGTTATAATTATGATTACCATTGTCATTTTTATCATCATATAAATAAATATAATTATCATTATAACTATAACTATAAATAAAATTATAATTACAATTATAACTATAACCATAATTATAATATCATTTTATTGTTATAGTTATCCTTATTTTTATAGTTACGATTATCATCATAATAAGTGTTATCAATACCATTATAATATGTAGTATTACACTATTACCATTATACTCTGGAGTACTTAAATTATAGATACCAGCATCGTGCACTTTTTGTAATAATAGTCACTTATAAATACTGATAACAATAAAAATAAATTAGTAATAATATAGTTATATAATAACATAATAATTGATAATAACCATAGTAATAATATACTTAGTATGGTGTTTTATGAATAACAACAACATACAAATAATGATTATAATAATAAGAGAATTCATAATTAATTTCGATGGAAGCAACATACAATAATAAGTTAATAACCTACAAAAATATATAAATTAAATTAGAATCATCATAATATAAAAGTTATAAATTATGGCTAAACCTTTTTTTATTTGATATGAGTGTTTCTAGTCTGATCTAAATTTTTTTGATTTAATCTAATCTGGTTTGAATATTTTGGTCTAATATGATTTGAGTTTTTGTCTAATCTGGCCTGAATAAAGTAAGAATAAGAAATACGGAGTAAACAATAAGAATAAGAGCAATTGAATGATTTCTAAGGATATGCTTTTTACGTTTTTTTCCCTAGTTTTTCTCTAGACTTTTCTATTAGTTGTTCCATCTCTGTTACGAACTAATTAATTGTTTGGGAAAATTTCCAAAATAGGACTAAAAACGTTTGAGAATTCTAAAATGGAGTGTCATATTTTTATTTCCTAAATAAGACTAATTGGCGCCACATATGAAGAATATTATCATGTCTAAAGTCTATTGTGTAAATGTGCATTTCCCATAATGCACATTTAAACTCAAATTTTATTACTATAGAAATTATATATAATTGATTTATAGTTCAATTTTTACAATAGTTTTTATATATGTGTAATTTGGTGTCATATGAAAGATCATAAAATTTTACGATTTTTGATATATTTTTAGTTAAATTTGAGTGATGCACTGAATGAGTTGATTGTAAAAACTGAGCTATAAATCAATGATAGCAGTGATACACCAAGTGAATAGCTATGACACACTGAGTGAATAGCAGTGATGCACTGAGTGAACTTAGATTAATCAAATGATTTAGTGGTGGTGATCATAGAATTGTTATTAACCAAAAAGAGACTCACACATCATTGATTCATAATTCAGTTTAATTAAATAAAAATAACAATTGTTTTATTTTTATATATGCAATATTGGTTTAATATGAAAGACTATAAAACTTATGTGTTTTGATACATTTCTTATAAAAGTTGGAGCACTAAAAAGAAGAAGAAAATTCTTCCCCTTACTCTAAATAAGTTGATGTGATTAAAGTGAATAACAGTGATGCATCGAGTAAATTACAGTGAAGCACCAAGTGAACTTGAATAAATCAAACGTTATAGTAGTAGTGATAACAAAATTTTTTAACGAATAAGAACAGACACATTACTGATTTATAACTACATTTTATTATATAAAATAATATATTTTTATTTTTGTATATGCAATATTGATGGCATATGAGAGATCAATTAATTTTGATATAATTTTCGTAAAGATTGGAGTACAAATAAAAAGTTATAGTACGTTAAAAGATATTTTTCTCCTTCACTTTCTCCAAATAAGTTGGCATGATTAATATATATGAATAGCACTTGCACCAAGTGAATAGCAGAAATGCACCGAGTGATCTTGGATTAATTAAATGTTTTAATAGTAATGGCAATAAATTTTTTATTAACCAATAAGAGACTAACACCTAATTGATATTTCGCCCAAATGTATTGTATTAAAAAAATGCTTCTATTTTATATATGCAATATTGGTGTCATATGAAAAATAATAGAATGTTATAAATTTTGATGTATTTTCTGTAAAAATTGGAGTAAAAATAAATAAGTTATAATACGTAGTACATTTAAAAAAATCTCTTCTTCATTTTCTCCAAATGAGCACTGATACATGTAGTGAATAGCAATGATGAATCAAGTCAATTTATATGAATTAAATGTTTTAGAAGTAGTGCTATTATATTTTTTTTTTATAAATCAATAGAATTTTAACTCAGTTTTGCTATATAAAATATTACCTTCATCCCATTCAAAAGTTCTCGTCCACTATTGTCCGGTCAACATAAAGTCTTCTTAATACTACTATATCACTTTATATATTCATTTTTTATCAAATTTGAGTTTTTCTTTTGTGACTTTATAAAACTTTTAATGTAAACTTTATATATGTAAATATCATTTACTAAAAAGATCTAATTACGGATAGGATCAATTAACATTATGGTCAGTCAAATATCATAAATCGTGTGGAAGCTTTTTTACGGGACGTAGAGAGTAATAGATATATTTTTTACTTTATATACGTAGTATACAATATTGGTGTGATATGAAATATTATGAAAAGTTATGAAATTTGATATAGTTTTTGTAAAATTTGAATTATAAATATAATATTTATATCACTTAAAAAAATTATTTCTCCTTTTTTTGCTCCAAATTAGTTGTGACGTAGGGAAATTTTTGTAATAGCTGTGTGATGTAGGGAGTTAAATAATTGTTTTAGTTGTTGTAATAATAGAATTTGCATTATTCAGGAGGCTGACACATCCTTAGTTTTTTACTCAACTTTACTGTATAAAACTATAAATATTACTTAGCAAACTTTTAGTGAATATAATTGTGTTGAAGGTTTACATCGTAATAACTTACATGTAATTACTACAATGTAAATTTGAACACAATTATAGTCCCTAATAGTTACTAAGGTGCTGTTCTGTTCGTCTTATTCTTATTACTTATTGCTTATTCTTATTTTATTCAGATCAGATCAGATCAGAAAGATTCAGATCAGATCAGATCAGAAAGATTCAGATCAGATCAGAAAGATTCAGATCAGACCAGATCAGAAACATTCAGATCAGATCAGAAAAGTTCAAACATGATTTATCACTTTTATTATTATATTAATTATTATTATTAATATTGTTATTACAATTATGATTATTATCATTATATAATTATTATTAATAATATTAATAATAATATGATAAAAAATAAGATATTAATAATAGTTATAATATTTTAATATAATAATAGTAATATAAATGTAATTATTAAGAAGACTATTATTATTATCATCATCATCATCATCATCATCATCATCATCATCATCATCATCATCATCATCATCATCATCATCATTATCATTATCATTATCATTATCATTATCATTATCATTATCATTATCATTATCATTATCATTATTATTATTATTATTATTATTATTACAATATAATAATAATATGATTAATGTTAATATAATATTATATTATAATTATATGTAATTATAATTATAATTACAATTATAATTCTTAGAATTATAAGTATAATCAATTGTATTTATTATAATTACATATATAAATATTTGTAATTATAATTGTAATTAATTATAATTATTATAA